GTACTCTTCCTTCTGAGTGCCCATATTCCCAATTGAAATTTGGGAGATCTTTCTCCCGATTTTAGGATTAAGCCAATGATGCCTGCTAACATCACTTCTATTCAATATTGAACCTAACCAATGCACAAGGCAAGACAAAGAAATAAAAGGTATAAGGACTGGAAAAGAAGAAATAAACTGTAATTATTCATAGATTACATGATTGTATACCTAGAAAATCCAAAAGGATCTTCAAATTATTAGAATTTAAAAAGTCTCTCAAAGAATGTAATCAATGTCACTGAATTGTACATGTAGAACCAGCTGAATTGGTGTTTTGCTGTGTATATTCTCAACAACAACAAAATAAAATTTTTAAAAATTTTGATACAAGATAAATGTACAAAAATCAATTTATATACTAGCAACCAACAATGGAAAGTGAAAAATTTTGAATGATTCTAAGGTATCAAAAAGCATCAAATATCTAAGAATAAACCTAACAACAGCTATATAATATTTCTACACTAAAAACTACAAAGTATTATTGACAAATTAAAGAACTAAATAAATGAAGCGATATACCACACTCAAGGATTGAATGGCTTAATATTATGAAAATATCAATTTATCCCCAAAGTAATCTGTGAATTCAGTGTAATCACAATCAAAATACTCAAAATACCAGCAGCACCCCCCCCATAGAAATTGACAAACTGATTCTAAAATTCATATGGAAATGATGCAAAGGGCCTCTTAACAGCCATCAGCAGGGCTGGAGGACTGACACTATGCAGCTGATGCTGTGATGTGCTGCCCAGATCTCCCTTTAGCACTTAAGAACTTCATCCCTCAGATGCTGGGAGTGCAAAGAGTGCACCCACCAGTCTCTCTGGAATTGCTTCAGCTGCAGGGTCTCGTCATCCATGGTATACCTCCTCCCAGGACAGCCAGCATCCAATGCCTTCTTGACACAAGGGTGCAAAGGCCTAACTCCCTCCAATTTGGCTCAACTCTGCAGGACCATCCTATCTTCAGAGCTCACTGTGGAGTCAGCTGAGGCCTTAATTGAGACTGTATCACAGCTCAGCTTTTCCCTCTGTTCAATTCTGCTTTCTTTCCTTCCCTTCCACAGGTGATCCCAAGATCATTTGCTAGTAACTTCCTGTCCATTAATCTCCATTTGAGAGTCTGTTTCCTGAAAAACCCAACCTATGATGCTAGTGTTATTATCTGTTTTCGTTTTGATGTAAGCGTAATGTGCTCACACTTGAAGGTAAAACCATATTTCTGAAGAATGAATGAACTATAATTATAAAGTATGGATGAATCTAATGAACATGTAAAAAGACTGGATACAAAGAGTACATGCCATAATGATTCCATTTATACAACGTACAAACTCTGCTGTTACAAGTCAGGATAGTGGTAACCCTTGGCGGGGGGTAGTGACTGGAAGGAAATACTTCTGGGGTACTGATTATGTTCTGTTTCTTGAGCTAGTTACTGGTTACATGAGTGTGATCCATTCGTGAAATAGCAGGCTGTGCATTTACGATTTGTATGCTCTTCCATAGGCATGGTATATTTCAATAAAAAGCAGTCTCTGCCACAACCTATAGGCAATAAGAGGCCACAGAAGGATTTCATATTTGAGAGACTTAAGAAGGATTTGAGAGACATTATCAGATTTGCATTAGAAAGATTAGTCCTTAGCTTTGTACACGATGGACTGGAGAAGGAAGGCAAGAGGAGGAGTTAAGAAGCTGTTTGTAGAAGCAATCTAGGCAAGTAATTATGAAGACCTGAACTAAAATAAGAACAATAGGGATGAAATGGACAGGGTTATTATAGTTGATATTTAAAGGGCAAACGACTGGACTTGGGCAGGTCACTAAATCCCCCCGTACTTCAGTTTCCTTGCTTGAAAAATGGGAATGATCACAGTATCTACTTCACTGGGGTTATTCTGATGATTCAATGAGTTAAGACATAGTGGGTGTAGTGATTGTTTCAAAAGAATCAGTAGTGAAGTAGGCGGAGCAAGATATAAAGTATCGACAATGGAAAGCTTCAAGAGAAACAGCTTAGTTTGGCAAAGTCCATGTGACCCTAGCTTCTCCCAATCACAAGTCTAGGACTCGGTCCCGGTAGAACACAGGGTAAAAAGTCAGGGTTAGGAAAAAAAGGCGGGAGACAGAACATATCAGAATCTGGGCGTGATATGGACCACGGGTGAAGGCTAGGATTCAATTCAGAGGACCTGTGTACCTGGATAAGGAAACCACAGTAAGTGTTGGCATTTCTTCTCCTCCCTACCCTCTCAGTTGAAGGACGGAACCACTGAACAGGTCGGTGACTCGGTGGCCGAGGAGGGTGGGGTTGGGGTCGGAAAAGGTGCCAGTGGGACTCGAACTTCTCCGTCCTTAGCCAGTTGCATGCGCCCAGTTCCGCCCCATCCAATGATTGGTGGCATGTCACAGGGTTCCTACATCTCCCAGAGTTCCCGCGTCCTGAGGCGGGGGGAGTGTCAGAAGTCTCGCGAGGGTGCCGGTCCAGGGCAGGAGTGCCTTTGGGGCCTTGGCCAGGCTTTCTAAGGTTGATGCTCCAGCTCCCGTGTCTACGACGCCTGGTAACCTCTTCCGGCTCCGTACCTTGAGCCAAAGGGCTTCGACAGGAGGTGAGCGCGGCTCGGGAGTCTGATGAGCGCAGGCAGGGAGCCTCCTCTCCTTCAACCAGGGCAAGCCTTGGCGCAGAGCGCAGGCTCTACCTCCGCAGGGGTGGAGATACGTCGTTAGAGGCGCTCTGCTGCCACTTGGCTGTAGGAACCGTGTTGGCAAAGCGCATTCGCGACTTGGCTAGGTACTGTCACTCCGTTTGTGTTGCAGGGTTTGCAACATCGAAAGGGACATTTTAATTAAAAATAGTGGGTGAACGCGTGATCCTAGTTTTACACACTTTTTGGTGAGTGCAGTACAGTATGCTTATGAGGTTAGTCGCCTTAGATGGCCAGCTCTTGTTTTCCCAGCCCGTTCCTAGCTCGTGGTTTTTCTGCTGATTCAAAGCTAGTTCACGTGGGATAAGATCACATTTATATTTCGTTTCTAACGCAAACACTTAAAGCAGACCTAATCACCTCCTAAAAAAGATAATGCAGAGTCACCCCGTAAAGGAACATGTCAATACTTACTCAATGTTTGCACTTAGCAACAACACAGAATTATCTTAAAGTACCTTGATGCCATAAGTTATAAGTCATGAGGTGTGTCCAGAACTAATTTTTTTGTCTGTGGCTTGTGAAAGAAGGGTAGGAGTGATTGTTGCTAGGATATGTTATAACATGTTACAACTGGCCACAGCAGTGCTTTCAATGTTGACTAGCTAAATTTGTTAGTAGATGTGAATAGAATTATTCTTTTTGTCGCTACAAAAATGAGTGATCATTATTTAGAGCAAAGAATTCATATTAAACTTTGTGTAAAGTTAAATCAGTCTGCAAGTGAGACACTTGAAATGCTAAAAGTAGTTTATGGTGATGAAATAACGTCAAGAGCAAGAGTTTTTGACTGGCACAAAAGGTTTAAAGAAGGTAGGGATGATATCCATGATGATGTGTGAAATTGGTCGACCAGTCATCCACAGAACTTATGCAAACATGGAGAGGGTCAGAGATCTGGTTTGTTCAAATAGCCAATTAACTGAGAAAAATGGCTGAAAGGTTAAATTTAGACAAAGAAACAGACTCATTCTGAAAGAAAACTTGTATGAGAGGAAAGTTTCTGGGAAGATTTTATCTTATGCTGTTGTAGTCGATGCTTCTGCGGAGGCCAAACCAAAACAGAGAACTACATAGGAACCTGCAACTTGAGTGTAGGTTTAGGGCACAATCTTATTGTATTGTTGTTTCCTTGGTCTTGAAAAAATCTCAGGCAAAACAAAAATAAGCTGAGCTTCTTCAAACAATTTTCATTGGCTTTGTAGTTACGTAATTTAAGCAGAGTGAAATCTGTAGAGTTGATGTGACAAAGTAGAGAGCGTGGTGCTAGAAGCTTATTGGGAAGAACCTAGCTAACCTGTTACCTCAGAGTGAGGTAGTACTAAACATGGGAGTCTTTCTACCTTATTTCTTACCTGCAGATTGGGCAGTTAAACAGAGAGCTAGAGAGGGAGCTAGATGGGAATATCTCAAAAAGCAATGAGAAGAAAATGGTCCATTTCAGGTAGAAGTATTTAGATTTGTAGTAACAAAACTTCTTTTTGTAGTGGGAGATTGAGCTCAGATGTTGGAAGCAGGTGTTCAAGTCTATCAGCCAGAAAGAAGTAGAAGAGGCTGTAAGGTGGCTGGTGGTTCCAGTTCCCCTGCCCCCCACCCCAAATTGGGACCTGATTTTGGTCAGACGCTCACAATACCATCTATTTTGATATATAATCTAAATTCCAACTTGAAGCAAATTTTATATATAAACTGTTTCAGGTCTGGGATTTGGTATGAAGGGTAGAAAAACAGGGCTCAGTTTTTATCCTAACTTCTTTTATTAGGAGAATGAGATTCCTTTCCATAAGTTGAGAAGGGTTTCAAAAAGCATTACTGTAACTAGCAACACATAACAACACACACAGTCTTGTCAATAACAAGGGACTTTTTGCACTTCCATTTTCCACGTGTACTACTGACCCGAAGCTTCAGCTCTAACAGCAGTCATCAAAGGGAAGGCATTTTCTTAATATTCATGAGGCCACAAATAGTTAATAGCTGAAACACTAATAAAAGCATTAGTAATTCATACCACAATTGATACAGATAAGGTATTCTTATACAAAAAAATAAGTAAAGAATGGTTTCACATAAAAGAAATTTTGATAAACCTAGAAAATTATGCAAGAAAGAGAATTTCAGATATTTGCACATTAACATTAGCATTTTAGTTTGAGGAACAAGTTGAATCATGTGCTGCTTGTCCCATAAGAATATATTTTGAGTTCAACTAGTATGAATTTATCATTAAGAAACTTACGTTCTTTGCCCGAATTTCCTTTCCAGTGTCTCGTATGATGCTGTTTAAATGTGGTTCCCCATCATTCAGTATTGGTTCTGTGGCAACCTAGATACACCAGAATTACAATATAAAGGGCTTATAGTCAGAGCCGTATGGTAGCTGACCCTGAGACTAGTTTTATTAGTTATACTATTTTATTTTTGTAAGTTTCCCAGACATTCAAGTCTATATTTTGTGGAACATGAACCAGAAATAATTGAGGTTGTTTATGGAAAAATTGTCTCATTTTAACGGGCTTTCTTACCTCTGGGGCACTGCTGGCCAAAGCTGTATGGCCTGCTGTACAAAAATTATAATTAGGAAAATGTTTTTCCTATTGTCTTAAGTTGTTTCATTTACTAAACTCTGTTACACTGTAACTTGATGCTTTAGATGGTGTTTTGTGCTGTGTAAATGAAATTTATTAAAAGTATACATAAATAATAACTGACATTTGAATAAACTGTAAGTTATCCATATTAATTTTGATAATCTGTATCTTATTATGTGGTATTTGCTGTTCCTGCTTATTTTAGCCACATGTTCATGCCTCTTATGCTTAAAGTCCACATACAATTTTAAGTTCATTGTCATACCTCTGAAATTTTTTAAAACTGACTACTGAGTAAACAAGATCTTCCCCTACCCCTAAATGAGGCACTAATAGAAGTCCAGTGTAGGAGACAGCATGGTATGGTGGGGTTCTAGTCCCAGCTTTATTTGTGATCTTAACCTGTCCATCTGTATTAGTTTCCTGTGACCACTGTAACAAACCACCACAAACCTAGTCGCTTTAAAAACAGAAATTTATTCTCTCACAGTTTTGGGAGCCAAAAGTCCAAAATTAGTTTCACTGTGTCAAAATCAAGGTATCAGCAGGGCTGCAGCCCTCCCTCCAGAGGCTCTAGGGGAGAATCCATTCCTTACCTTTTCAAGCTTATGGTGGCTCCCAGCATTCCTTAGCTTGTGGCTGCATCCCTCCAGTCTTCAAGGCCAGCATTTTCAAATCTCTTTCTGCTCCATCTTCACATTGCCTTCTCTGTTGGGATCTCCCTCTCTGTCCCTCTTAAAAGGGCCCTTGTGATTGCATTTAGAGCCTACCAGGATAATTGAAGATAGTCTCCCATCTCAGGATCCTTAACTTCATCGCATCTGTTCTTCCAAATAAGGTAACATTTCCAGTTTTCAAAAAAAGATCTGATACCTTTTGGGGTTGTTATTCAGCCTACTGCACCATCTCTGTGGGTTTCAGAAAGTGTATTGTGTAAAACAAGGTGGTTGCACCATGTAAAAAAAACAGCATGGGGATAATCAAAATCAGCCCAAGGCTGACTCCTGTGAGGTGGAGGTCAAAATTACCTCCACCCTCCAACGTTTTTACCAATTCTGACACCAGCTGACCCTCCTACGGTACTCTGCTTCTCTGCTGGGTTCCATAATTCGTTGCAGTGGCCACACACAACTTTTTAATCTTTGCGGAAGGTTTTACACTGGGTTTTTAATCTTTACAGAAGCTGACTGCCATATCTTTCTCCCGCATTGTGGCTGATGGGTTTGAACTGCTGACTTTTCAGTCAGTAGCCAAGTGCTTAACCACTGCACCATCAGGGCTCCTTTGGCCTCCATGAGGCCCCTTAAAATATGTTCCCTGTTTTTCCCCAGTGTACCTTATCTGGTCATAAAAATGATTACATCTTTCACCTGCTCTGCTTTAGTCCGGCGGACTTCAAACACTTTAGCATCAAAACCCTTTTTACTAAAAAAAAGAATTATTTGGAAAACCAAAGTATACACAGGCCTGCACTGGCTGAAGTTGGGTGGTGGGGGAGGGAGGAGGGTCTGTGGTGGACCCCGAGCCTGACCTGTTCACCCAGCCCAGGTGAACTTCTCAAGGGATGAAGAACCACCACTAGGACTCGGTGGAGTGAAGCAGTGTGTGAAAATCGTTTCTTGAAAATGATTTCCTAGAGCCTTCAGTCACACATTAACACTTGATGTTTTACAATACCTTTCATCTTAACAGTAACTAGAAACCGTTGTCATTCTCTCAGCCTGTTTTCTGTGGACCAGTGTTTATATAGTGTCTTACACACATTCCTGTTCTATCAGAACAACTTGCTGTAGCCTTTTAAGGCTCTAAGATTAATTCTGTTTTACAATTAATTTCTGTTTTACAATTGAGAGATTGTACTTTCCTCTTACTACTCAGCATTTGAAGAAGTTGTCTCATATAGGCGTTTGTCTCCTTCCTCACCCATGTTGCTAACTAATCACAGCACTGTTTCCGGAGGCCTCTATCAATGAATCAGAGTTGGCACTCACACCTAGTAAATGTCAGTAGCTGAAATTGAGTGCCTACCTATGTATTTTTCATTTGTTTGCTTACAGCTATTGAATTGCAACCTTTTTAAGAATACCAAAAAAATCAACCTGTTAAGAGAGTATACCCACATGCATATATAGGGTTGGCTGTGGTTACTTCTACATACATATTTGTATGTAAGCATGTATCTTCATATATATAATATGTATATATATATAATGGAGCATACAGGGGGCACAGTCATGGAAACATCCTAGACATAACCAAACTCCTTATAGGACTCCGTTACTGGGCTTGAAGGCTAGAAGGCTAAGGACCATAGTCTCGGGGGACATCTAGGACAACTGGCATAACGTAGTTCATAAAGACAATGCTCTACATCCTACTTTGGTGAGTAGTGTCTGGGGTCTTAAAAGCTTGCAAGTGGCCATTTAAGATACAACTTTTAATCTCTTTCTGTCTGGAGCAAAGGAGAGTGAAGAAAACCAAAGACTCAAGGAAACAATTAGTCCAAATGACTAATGGACCACAGGAACCACAGCCTCCACTAACCTGAGACCAGAAGAACTAGATGGTGCCCTGCCACCACTACCAACCACTCTGACCAGGATCACAATAGAAGATCCTGGTTAGAGTGAGAAAAAAAAGTAGAACAAAATTCAAATTCATAAAAAAGACCAGATTTAGTGGTCTGAGAGAGACTGGAGGAACCCTGATATTATGGCCCTTAGACACCTTTCTAATTTTCACCTGAAGCCATTCTCAGAGATCACCTTTCAGCCAAATAATAGGCCTATAAAATAATAACGCCCGTGAGGAAAGTGCTTCTTAGAACAATCATCGATATGAGACCATAAGGGCAACATATGCCCAAAAGCAAACACACTGTGGGGATTGCAACCAATGTCAGGGAACAATTTGTGTGTAAACTGTAAATGGAAACAAATTTGCTCTGTAAACCTTCACCTAAAGCACAACCAGAAGAAACAAACAAACCTGTTGCCATTGAGTCAATTCCAACTCATGGCAACCCTGTGTGTTACAGAGTAGAACTACTCCATAGGGTTTTCATGACTATAATCTTTAAGAAGCTGACTGGCAGGCATTTCTTCCATGGTGCTGCTGTGTAGGTTCAAACTGCCAATCTTTAGGGTAGTAGATGAGCGCAAACCGTTTCTATCACCCAGGACCTTTTTTAAATAGAAAGTAATCTTCACTGTGCTTTCACATTAACCATAGTGTTTTCATTCACACTCAGTTCATAAAAATGTGGGCACAGATCATGGCTTATTTTGCCCAGTAAGTGAGAAAATTAAGATTCACTCAGCTTGACTTACATCTCAGAACAAGATATCTTAAAATGCCAGTAAACGTATTAATATAAAAAGATAAAATTTACTACTACCACCCTAGTCAAGCTGCCCTCTCTTCTCTCTTGGATTACATCAATAACCTCCTCACTAGAGGAAACAGCAAAGAAATCTGAGAGGTGATCAGCTACGTAGGAGAAAATATGAGTATGATGTCCTGGCAAGCTGTAGGAGCAGAAGTGATGGGATGTCCCTTCCAAGATCAGGTTATAAAAGATGGTGGCTTCCATCCTGGGTGCCAACTCTCTCAGCCCTCACTCTAGCAGAAGCAAGCTGCCATGTTGTGAGAAGTCCTAAGGAGAGGCCCAGGAGCAACAAACTGAGGCCCCAGACCAACCACTAAGTAATCTAAGATTCTCCAACCCCTGTTAAGAATTGACTGAAACTTTGTGCGAGACCCTGAGCCAGAACCAGCCAGTTAAACTGCTCCCATATTCCTGACCTCAGAAACTGTGTGAGATAATAAATGTTCTTTAAGCTATTGGGTTTGGAGGTAATTTGTTAAGCAGCAATAGATAACACAGAAATCAAGTAAAGAAAGTATGTCATAGATGATAGCAGGATCAATTGTGTCAAACGCTGCCAGGTAAATCAAGATAATATTAAGGCCCCATGCTTTCATAGCTCTGGGGGCACATTTTCTAATTCACGTGGAAGTTTGAAAAAGTTTTAAAAGGCAATTTTTAAAGTAACAACAACAAAAAAAAAAACCAGTGCTCATTAATTTTTATGTACATTAATGTATTCTGAGAAAATGTAAACTCAAACTGAAATATCTCCATCAGCTGGGCATTTCTATTAATTGGAGAGGAGTACAGTTAGGGCCTGATCAAGACAGCCTTTCCAGAAGCTGCTTTTGCACCCCTAAGATGTACTGTTTAGCCAACATTATAGGTCACATTGTGAGTCAGAATTGACAGCAATGGGTTTGGTTTTTGGGTTTTATAGGTTACATAAGTAGCTTAGTTATGTGAGCTGTTACATTTAAATCTTTTAATGTTGGTCTCAGAAACTTAGTAAGTTTTTTAGCTCCTCTAACCAGAAACAACCTCACACAGATGTCTCATCTCTTTTCCCAGGGAGTACACTTAGTTTCAAGTGTACCACCTTTTGGGGTACAGATGTTATTCAGTCATCAACTTAATGTTCTCAGTATTCTTAACATTGCTGTTCTTGCCAGTTAGTTGATTCTGACTCATGGTGACCCCATGTGCAGAAAACTGCTCCATAGGGTTTTCAAGGCTGTAACATTTCAGAAGCAGATCACCAGGCCTGTCTTCCAAGGTGTGTCTGGGTGGGTTCCAACCATCAGCCTTTTGGTGAGTAGTCAGGCACTTAACCATTTGTGCCACCCAGGGACTCCCTGTTACATTGCTAAACCTGCATGAATCAAGAAAATTCACTGTCAACTCTACAGCATTCTGGAGTTCCAGTGTTTCATAATAAATATGTTTTACTCTTGGGAGGTGATTAAATACTCTGACACATTTCTAAGATTACTATTATAATGGTAGGAATGAGTCACTTGAAAACTATGTTTTAAATATCTGGTTAGACTCCCCAGATCTTTCAGGATGGAAAAATGAAGTCTTATATTCCATGTTGATTCTTAGGGTAATGAAATAAATATAAAATTTTGGAGTGCTTCTCTAATGTTTCACTAGTATAAACATACTAGAATAAAGGAGGGGCCTAGTGGTGATAGTTGTCTGTCAGTTTGTCATACCGTGGTGGCTTGTCTGTTGCTATGATGCTGGAAGCTATGCGCCAGTATTTCAAATACCAGCATGGTCACCCACAGTGGACAGGTTTCAGCAGAGCTTCCAGACTAAAACAGACTAGGAAAAAGGACCTGGTGATCTACTTCTAAAATAACTGGCCAATGAAAACCTTATGAATAGCAGTGGAACACTGTCTGATATAGTGCCGGAAATGCGCCTCTCAGGTTGGAAGGCATTCAAAGTAAAACTGGGGAAGAGCTGCCTCCTCCAAGTAGAGTTGATCTTAATGACGTGGATGTGGTAAAGCTTTCGGGACCTTCATTTACTAATGTGGCATGACTCCAAATGAGAAGAAACAGTGGCAAACATCCATTAATAATTGAAATGTGCAAAGTATGAACCAAGGAACACTGGAAGTTGTCAAAAATGAAATGGAACACTTGAATGTTGAAATCCGAGGCATTAGTGACTGAAATGGACTGGTATCAACCATTTTGAATCAGACAGTCATATCGTCTGCTGTGCCAGGAATCACAAATTGAAGTGGAATGGTGTGGCATTATTGTCAAAAAGAACATTTCAAGATCTGTCCTGAAGCACAACACTGTCAGTGATAGGATAGTATCCATATGGCTACAAGGAAGAACAGTTAATACAGCTATTATTCAAATTTATGTACCAACTACTGTTGCCAAAGATGGAAGAAACTGAAGATTTTTACCAACTTCTGCAGTCTGAAATTGATCAAACATGCAATTAAGATGCAATGATAATTACTGGTGATTGGAATGCAAAAGTTGGAAACAAAGAAGGATCACTAGTTGG